CAGGGTGTGTGACTCTTGATGTGAGCAAAGTGTGTGAGGATCATTGCCATTTTCAAGAAGGACTAAGTAGCCCCTGGCCCATGCCACGTGAGGTGTTGCCTGGAGTGGGTTCTACGGTCCTGCTCCTGGGGTAGCTGTTCAGCAAATGCTCATCAGGACAGTATGGCAGAGGGTGCTAAGTGTGGCCTCTGGAGCTGGAATCCCCAGTGGCTCACTGGGCGGCCTTGGACTACTCAGTCACTGTCTCTAGGCTTCCGGTTCCTCCCAGGGTTCTTGTCCGGATTAGAGACCGTGGGAGTGCCTGGGTGGCTCAGTTGGTTGGGCATCTGCCTTCAGCTTGGGTCAGGATCCCGGGGTCCTGGAATCAAGCCCCACATTGGACTCCCTGCTCAGCGGGGGGTCTGCTTCTCTCTCTCTCCCTCTGCCCCTCCCCCACTCATGCTGTCTCCCTCTCCCCCCTCTCAAATAAATAAATAAATCAATAAATAAAATCTTAAAAAAAAAAGAGAGAGAAAGAGAACATATCCTCACAGTCTGTAAGTTCATAACAGGTATTCGCAAATAGTGATTTTCTTTCTTCAACCGTGAGTTAGGGAAGTCGAGAAAAGGTGTCATAGTGAGAAGAAACTGAGGAAGGAGAATGTGCAGACTTGCCACATAGCATGTGGACAGTGAGGGAGACGGGAGAATCGAGACGGCTCCCACGTTTCTAGCCCAGCACGCTGCTTGACAGTTGTGTCATTTAAGGCTTTCTGACTCAGTCACAGAATATTAAACAAAAAGGGGCTTATTGCCTAATGTCTGAAAAATCCTGGGTGCGACCAGCTCTGGGACCAACTTGTTCCAGGGCTGGAGGCTGTGAAGGGCGTGGGTCTGTCCTCCCCTTGGCTCTCCTCTCGGACCCCACTCCTTCTCAGCCTTGGTATGTCCTGGGCAGCCAACAGCTCCGGGCTTGTCCTCTCAGGTCCTGGGGCAAGAGAGAATGACAATCATTACACCCATATTTGCACACTATATCATAAGTACTGTTCTAATTTTTTTTTAATAGGCTCCACATTCAATGCGGGGCTTGAACTCTCAGCTCCTGAGATCAAGGGTCGCATGCTCTGCTGACTGAGTCAGCCAGGTGCCCCCGTCCTAATTTATATATGTGTGTAGATGTTTGTGATTGTCACAGGAATGAGGTAGGTGGGAAAACTGAGGCAGATGAAGTAACTAGCCCAAAGTTACAAATAAAGACAGAGTTAGGATTTGAGCCAATGGTCTGGTTTCAAAGTCTGTGCTGTACAGGGCCTCTTCTGAGCAAAAGAGAGGAGCACAGGAGAAGGGAGGGAAAAATGAGACAAGAGGAAATGGGAGAGGGAGGCAAACCGTGAGAGACTCTTACTCTAGGGAAGAAACTGAGGGTTGCAGGAGGGGAGGTCCGTAGGAGGGTGTCTGGGGGGCTCAGTTGTTAAGTGTCTGCCTTTGGCTCAGGTCATGATCCCAGGGTCCAGGGGTCGAGCCCTGGAATGGGCTTCCTGCTCATAGGGGAGCCTGCTTCTCCCTCTCCAGCTCCCCCTGCTTGTGTTCCTTCTCTCGCTATCTCTCTCTGTCATAAATAAATAAAATCTTTTAAAACAATAAAAAAAGAAAAAAGAAAAGAAAAGTGATAGGTACATGATGAAGATATAAAACTATGAAGAGTTAGAAGTGAAGGGACGAACTCTTAGGTAAGTCTTAGATCAAAGAGAAAATAAAAGGGAGTTCATTCCTTCCAGAAACCAATGAAAAAAGCAAACCACTTTCTACTGAAACCTATGGGACCATGAAAGTAATACTAAGAGGAGCACTCAGACTTCCAAAATGCTTTAGCGATTTAAAAGTAAAACCAAAAAATAAAGGAACTAAATGCTCATCTTAAACATTTAGAAAAATAAATGAGGAAACTGGAATTAATAAAGGCCAAAGTTGAAATTCATGATATACATAGAAAAAACACGATAAAAACAGTAAGAAGATAACTCGGTCAAAATCTACTGAAAACGACTCCAAACGTTTACTGGATAGACTGATCCTTCGGGTTTGCCTTCGCGGCCTTTCCTGTCTCTCCAGGCTTGGCCCAGGGACCCCGTCACGAGCTGTCACTGCAAATCCGATTGCTGCAATGACTGGATCCACACCTGTCTCTCCAGCCCTGGCGGTACCCTGTTGAAAACCACAATTAGGCTGAGGAAATCTGAAAATCGAATTGCCTTTATTAACAAATTCAGGAATCAGTAGAGAGATGCTCCGAGGCGCTGTAAACAAAGGAAGGTTTTATTAACTTCCCGGGACAAGGAAGTTATTAGGAAGACAAAAGATAGAATTATTTCAAGGGTGCTCTCTCTCAGCTGCTTCGTTAGGGCCACTCGAAGGGGGGAAGAAACAGGAGTTTTATCACATGGGTGACCTCTTCTTCCTCTCTGGGATCCAGAGGGCACGTCCGACGGATTGCCTCATTGAGACTTACCAGAAAATTCCTCACTGAGCAGGTAAAATGACATTTCTGGGGGACTTGGGGCCTGTAGTTCGAGTATTTCGCCTCAGTCTGGTGCCGTGGCCTGGCGTCCGTGACTCCGCCTTGGGCCTGTGGTTTTCCTTCAACAGCCCCGAGGGCGCAGCTGGGCGCGTGCTTGGCTCCCTGCCGGGAGGGCGCCGCTGGGCGCCCGCAGACCTTCCCGAAAGGCCGAGCGAGCAGAGACGAGCAGGAGACGCCGGAAGGATGGAGTCTGAGGCGGCGGAAGAAAGAGAAAACCCTACCTGGGCCCGAGTCGGAGCTTGTCCCCAGGGAAGCGGGGACGATCCCGCTGAGCGCTTCCAGCGGCAGAGACGAGGACGCTCCCTGCTCTGCGCCCGCACGGTTCTCCGCCGCGCAGGCGCGGACGGCGCTTAGCGGCTGTGGCGCGTGCGCGGTGAGCGTCTGCCGAGTCCTTTCCAGCCGGGACTCGCAGCGGCTTCCCTGGACGCCCCCGGAGGACAGTCGCAGGTGTTAGGCCCCTTTTACAGCGCAAGCAGCGCAGGGAACGTTTCCAGGGTCCGCGAGCTGGAGAAGCTGCAGTCAAGGCCGGGCCTCGAGTGTCCGGGTCAGGGGCGGGGCGCGTCTAGGTCTCGCCGCAGCGGCTGGAGGCCGGGGGAGCGTTTTCACCGCCTCTTCCTGCGCCAGGCTCCGGCACGTGCCCCAGTGCTCCAGGGGAGCCACCCTCCCCCCCACGCTGACCAGGGCCGGAGACAGAAAACCCCAAACCCTCCCAAACGCTAAGCCTCAACCAACCGGCTGCTTTGGGAGGATAAAACCCAGGAGCCGCGCCCAGCCTGGGGTGGGGGTGCGGTGGGGGAGGGAAAGGCGATGTCCTCTGAAATCGAAGGGTTCAGGCCCCTGTCCTCAGCGCTGTGGGCTGCAGCCAGACACGAGGCGTGGCTTCCTGCACAGGTGGCTCAGGGGGTTGCGGGTGCAGCGGCTGGTCCCCACCAGGACCAGTTGCAACCGGTGTCCGGTTTCCGCAGCCCGGGAGGTGCAGGCTCGGTGACGTGCGTCTGCTGAAACACACGCGGTGTGACGCGAAATGAGAATCGGCCCCGGGTGGAGAAGGGACCCGGCCCCGTCGGTTCTGCTGGGGTTACCCGAACCGAGGGACGGCCACCCCGGCACTGTGTGAGGAGACTGTGCCCTTTGACTTGATGCCAATCTTGTAAAACTGCTTCTGCCTACATCCCTCCCTTCCCCATGCTGACATGCAGAGAGAGCTGACGGGAAGCCACTGGTAAGACACAACTGCAGAAGTTGACACGAGCACCAGGAGAGATTCATTTCCATGAAAACAAAAAACCAAGGGAACAAGTTTGTTTTGTTCCATGGTTCAGAGCGTTTGCATATTACACGTACTTAATAGATGAATTGTGTGTCCGACAATGCAGAAATCAGAGTCACAATGGTGACAGGCATCGAATGAGGCCGGAGACGTTGGGGTGTCAGCAGAGAATCGCCGCTGGTTCACTGGCCGGCGTGCCGAGTGAACAGCTACAGCGCCTGCTCTGTGCCACACACCGCTGCAGGGCTCGGGGGGCAGAAGAAGGGAACGAGCCCCGCAAAAATCCCAGTCCTTGTGAGGCTGATGGCCCAGAACAACAGCGCAGGGAAGAGAAATGGGAAGTATGGCAGGGGCTCCTCGCAGTTTTTGACGGAGTAGCCAGGGCAGCGGCACTGGAGCAGACGTCAGAAGTTTTGCAGTGAGCTGTCTGGAAACCCAGGAAGAACCTTCTGGGCAGAAAGACTGTGCTTCGAAGCATGAGGCAGGGACATGCTTGACCCTTTCAAGGAAGAGCAAAGAGGTCAGGGTGGTTTGTGTAGTGACAGAAGCAGAAGATAAGTGGGTTCAGCTCACATAAGCCTTTCACAGGCCATTGTAAAGACTTATTCTGAGTCAGAGGGAAGGTGTGGGAGAATTCTGATTAGAGGATGTTAATGCTGCTGATAGTTAACCTCCTTATGGCATGTCCTAGAACCTGGACACTGTTCTAAGTACTTTACGTACATTGACTCGCTTATTTCCCATATCAGCCCTATAGGTATCATTCTCATTTATACAGATGAGGAAACTATGACTCTAAAAAATTAGGGATATTGTCCAAGGTCACACAACCAGTCAGTCACAGAACCATAATTCAAACCCAGGGGGTCTGGCTGTGGCCCATTTCCTCTTTTCCAGGCCACACAGTGAGACTGCATTTCCCAGACTCCCCTGCAGCTGGCTGGTGGCAGTGTGACAGAGCTGTGGCCGCAGACCGCAAGCAGACGTGAAGGGCGCTACCAGCTTCTGCAGGCCGCCCTTCACGCTCTTAGCGCCTCTTCCGGCTGAGTACAGGGAACTTGGATGTCCCAGTGGAAGGTAGAATCACAGATGGAAGGAGACCAGGTCTGTAGATGAGCTCGTGGAGGCCTCCTGCAGATCAGCAGCTGTCCTTGGAAATTCACAATAAACTTCGATTGTGTAAGCCACCGAGAATCGGGCATTGTTTTAAAAGTCCTGAATTTTTAAAAGAAGACTTTATTTATTTATTTTTGTGAGAGAGAGAGAGCGCGCGCATGTATGAGTTGGTGGGGGAGGGGCAGAGGGAGAAGCAGACTCCCTACCCAGCGGGGGGCCTCATGAGCACCTGGATCCTAGGACCCTGGGATCACGACCTGAGCCAGAGGCAGCCTCTTATCTGAGCCACCCAGGCACCCAAAAGTTCTGAGTTTAGGGTTGAAGGTGGCATGGCCCTCACATGGAAGAGGACACAGTCTGTTAAGGGAGACAGGCTTGTGAGTGACAGCAGTGCAGTCCTCTACCATAGACTTTAAGGGAGAAGTCCGCTGCCCAGAGGAAGGAGTTCTAAACACTGTCTAGGGAGGTGGGGGGTAACTCTACCTGGTAGAGGGTGATATCTGAGCAGGGTGATAAAGGGTGCCTCGGAGTTTGGGGTGAGTGTGGACAGGAGTGGTGGTGCCAGTTGGGTGACAGCTAGTGCAAAGGGATGAGGAGTCTGGGAAGGATGAGATGTTCCGTTGCCCAGTTTATCTCGTTTCATGCTAACTCCTGCTTTCCAGCCTCCTACCTCTGGTTTTTCGTGTCTCCCACCCTTTGATCTGAGGAGGCAGCATACCCCAATAGTTAGTTATGTTAAAAAATAATTCTGATACTTGTGAAAATGGTAAGGAAGAATTCATTCAGGACTATTGTCACAGGTGTCAGGAAAAGAGAAAACAGAGGAAAGAGATAGGGCTTAACTCCAAGTACAGCCAGGCGGCTGGGGATGGACAGCCAGTGAGCAGACTGGAGAGTCAGTGCACGGAAAAGTGCTGAGAGAAGACATTGGGGGGGGGGTCCCTGCCACAGACTGGCCAGACTCATGCGATATCAAGGGTAGGGAATGAGGAATTTGATCAGCAATCCAAGGGGAGGGTTCTTTCAACTGACTTAGCAAGGTTGTTGTCACAACTAGACACAGCGAAGATAGGGTAGGTGCAAGGTTGAGGCTCAGTGGAGAAGGGGGTTCAGCGGAGTTTGAAGTTTGGTTAAGGTACTTGGGCTTTTGAGCAGGAATGACTGGATCTGGATTCTCATTCTGTGTCTTCCTGAGCTGGCTGTTCCGGTCTCTTTGTGCCCGTTAAACAGGGATGATAATATTTCCTCGGGATCCCGTGCGAAATGACCGAGTTACATACGTACAGCCCTTAGAGTAGGGCCGGGCGCAGGGTACGGCTCGGCATGTGGGAGCTGCGGAGGCTGGTGCTGCTGCTTCTGTAATTGTTATTCATTTCTTTGACCATAGAACAAGCGTTCAGAAAGCAGGGAAAGGGAAGCTTGGTCAAAAGACCTTATTTAAGTTTCAACTTAAATAACTCGGGTGAGTTATTTAATAACCTGAGTGAACTCAGGTTATTCAAGGGAACTTACTTGACCTATAGTGAGTCTTTGGTCTTATCGTTTTTAAGAGGTCATGGACTATTAAAACTCATGCCTCCTCCCTGCAAGCTTCCTGTGAGAGTCACTTTTGTAAAATTGTAAAGTTCTATTCAAATGCAAGGGATTATAAAAGGTGTCATACTTACGGTTGATTCACTTCCTGGCCCAGCCTTTATTCTACAGGCCCCAGAGCAATATCTCAATGGCACCCCCTTCTCTCAAGCTCCGGACTTTGCTGGAATCTACCTTGATACTTACTCTATTAGGCCTCACTCTATGGCCCTACCTAGAGGGAGCTGCCAAGCACATGCCCATCACTCACAATCTGATCTGGACATCGGGCTGCCCTGATCCCCTTCTCCTGTGTTAGAATTCTGAGTAACTCAGCCTGAAGGTGTAAGCAGGAAGAATTAGGGGTTCCCAGAAAAAGAAAGACAAACTTGGCTTTCTTGACATAAGAGAATCATTTAGGGCCCCAGCCATCTTGTGAAAGAATGTAAGAACAAGTAGGAGATAACCTAATCATATCAGGGACAAAAAAAATTAAGTAGTAAAATTCTCAGTATTGGTTCAAAGTTAAGGTCGACCTGACACACACACTTAAGTCATCTTTGTAGTGTCTAAACCCATTTGAGCCCTCAGATACTCAACCAACTGAAACCTGAGAATTGATAATGATGACCCTTCCAAGCCCTCATGACTTCAACTTGGACTCTGTCACCTTAAGATGACTTCTGCCCCAATTTCTTGTTATAGTCCCCATTGCTCAAGTCCCTCCATGAATATGTATGCTCTTAGCTTAAAATTTTCCTAATTTTATTGTTTAGGAAGATTCTGCTTTGGAAAATATCCCCAGTGTTCTCCTTTACTTGTTGCAAATAAAACCCTTCATTTTCCTATTCTTTGATTTGGCTGTGTCTTCCAGCTCAGCATCCATGAAGAGTTGGAGTCAGTTTTGGGTAATAAAGGTGCCCCCTGGTAGCATTGCCAGATAAGATACTGGAAGCCTAGTTAAATTTGAATTTCAGATCAATAATGAATAAATTTTTAGCATAAGTATGTGTCAAATATTGTATGAGACATACTTATACCCAAAAAACATTTTATTGTTTATCTGAAATTCAAATTTAACTGGATATCCTATATTTTTATTTGTTAAATCTGGCAAATCTACACCCAAAAGGCAAGGCAGATAAAAATACATCAGAGGAAATGGGACTGGGGCGATGAACAGAATGAAGGATTAAGAGAGTGGTGTGAGAGTTCCCAGACCCGTTACGCTCCTTATCTTACAAAATCCAAAGCCTATGGCCACCGTGGTGCACATTTATCTGAGCTACTCCAAGGAAAAGGATAGGGAAGACACAGTCTTTCCACTACATTGTCCAGAGTGGTCTTTTGAGAATGGGAATCTGATTACTTCCCTGCCTTAATCACTTTTGGTTTTCCAAGGGTCTGCAATTGAGGGCCTCCAGGCAAAATCCATTTGCTTTCTTGTTCTTATAAATTAAGTTTTATCATAAGACAGCCATGCTCATTCGTTTATGTTTTGTGCATCTGCTTTAGTGCTGCAGTGGCAGGGTCGAGTGGGTGCAACAGAGATCACCTAGCCTGCAGAACCTACAATACTGGCTATCTGGCATTCATTTTTCAAAACTCCCAAATGTCCTTCTTCCTCCTTTTTTTTTTTCTTAGTGAAATCCTGCCCTAAATGTGAGATTTCTCTCTACTTATACCCTAGGATCCCTGTTTCTCTGTGCTCCTACAGTATTCATACCACTTTAACATTAAAAAAAAAAAATCTTTGTTATTTACAGGTTTGGTATTGGTCCTCTCCACTAGCAGTGGTTTCCTGGGACCATGACCAGGAGCCATGTCTTGCTTTCCCTTGTAGCGCCTGAGCTCCTAGCACAGGGCAAGTACCTGGTAGGTATTTGTTGAATGAATGGGAAAGGTGAGATGCAATGGTCAAGAGTCTGGGTGTTGGATCCAGAAGCACCTATTCTGAGGTCCAATCTCTTCCTCTGACTGTATATTTAGTTAACAGTGATTGAGCAAGTTCCTTAACTGAGCCCCAGTTCTCTCAACTATAAAATGGGGACAGTAATACTGAGTGAGGCTTCAATAAGACAATTCATATGAAGTACATGGTATATTATTTCCTCTCTTTCTCCCCCTTTGAATGAGGAAAGGGAGTAGAAAGAAAAAAGCGGAGCAGCTGTTTCCAAGGAAGGGGTAGGTAGAGGAAGTAATGAGGAGACTAAATGGACCATCTCTTTATCTGTGGCTAGTTCTCCCTGAACTTGGGGACAAGATTAGCTACAGACACATCTGTGTTGTGCACTGGGGAAAGTCAGGGCTCTACAAACCAAAGCTCTGTCTGGACAGAACCACAAATAAACACAACGCCTCGCATGGAGACATCGATCAAGATGCTCAAAAAGAAACATGGTTTCCACAGCTGGTTCTGATGACCCTTCTCCAAACTGGGTATTTCACAGCCTGCATCTTCTGAGTCCATGCTGTGCAAGAGAAGAGTGCTGCCCTGTTTGCACCTGGTCTTCCAATCATTTGGATAGAAACATCCCTCCAACCCCAAATTAGGCTGTTAGCTCTTGAACTAATGGGTCAAATAATAAATCACAAGAGAAATTAGAAAATATTTTAAGAGAAATGAAAACAAAACACAACATACTGAAACTTGTGGGATGCAGCAAAACACAAGAAGTAAGTTTTATAATGAAAAATGCCTATATATATTAAAAAAAAAAGATGGGGCGCCTGGGTGGCTCAGTGGGTTAAAGCTTCTGCCTTCGGCTCAGGTCATGATCCCAGGGTCCTGGAATGGAGCCCCACATTGGGTTCTCTGCTCAGCGCGGAACCTGCTTCCTCCTCTCTCTGCCTGCCTCTGTGCCTACTTGTGATCTCTGTCTGTCAAATAAATAAAATCTTTAAAAAAAAAAAAAAGAAAGAAAGAAAGATTTCAAATAGACAACCTAACTTTACACTTCAAGGAACTAGAAAAGGAACAAACTAAACAAAAGTTACCAGAAGGAAGGAATAATAAAGATTAGAGCAGAAATAAACAAAATGGAGAGTAGAAAAGCAATAGGGAAAAAAGTAGCAAAATTAGGAATTTTTTTTAAAGATCAATGAAATTGACAAACCCTTAACTAGACTAAGAAAAAAAAAGAAAGAAGACTCAACCAACAAAAATCAGAACGAAAAAGGAGATATTAGAGCTGATACCACAGAAATTAAAAAGATCATAAGAGACTAAGATTACTAGGCACCTGGGTGGCTCAGTTGGTTAAGCGACTGCCTTTGGCTTAGGTCATGATCCTGGAGTCCAAGGATTGAGCCCCGAATGGAGCTCCCTGCTCAGCAGGGAGTCTGTTTTTCCCTTTATCTGCTCCTCCCCCATCTCATGCTCTATCTCTCTCTCTCTCTCAAATAAATAAAATCTTAAAAGAAAGACTAAGGTTACTATCAACAAGTATATACTAACAAATTTGATAACCTAAAAGAAATGGATAAATTTCTATCAACATAACAACCTACCAAAACTGAGTCATGAAGAGTTAAAAAGTATGAATAGACCTATAATTAGTAAGGGGATAGAATCAGTAATCAAAAACCTTCCAACAGAGAAAAACTCAGGACTAAATGGGTTCACTGGAGAATTCTACCAAATATTTAAAGAAGAATTAACACCAACCTTTTTTGAAATCTCAAAAGTTAAAGAAAAGGGAACATGTCCAAATTTGTTTAATGAATCAGCATTATTCTGAGATTAAAATCAGACAACACTAAGAAAAGTACAGACCAATATCCCTGATGAATATTGATGTAAAAACCTTCAAAATACCAGAAAACTGAATTCAATAACATATTAAACAGATTAAACACCAAGACAAAGTGGCATTTATCTGTGGAATGCAAGGATGGTTTAACATTTGAAAATTAGTCAAGGTATATACCATATTAGCAGAATGAAGGAAAAAACCCACAATGTTTGCCTCAGCTGATGTAGAAAAATATTTGACAAAATTCAATACTCTTTCATTTACTCAACAAATTAAGATTAGAAAGAAATTACCTCAACATAATAAAGACTGTATGTGAAAAGCCCACAGCTAATGTCATAGTCAATGGCGAAAAGCTGAAAGCTTTCTTTTTAAGGTCAGGAACAAGGCAAGGATGCCCATTCTCACCACTTCTATTCAATGTTGTATAGTTGAATTCAATTCAACTACGACATTTAGTACTAGATGTCAGGGTAATTAGGCAAGAAAAAGAAATAAAAGGCATTCAAATTGCAAAGAAGTAAAGTTATCACTATTCAAGATGACATGATTGTATATGTAGAAAACCATAAAGGCACCACCAAAAAGCTGTTAGACCTGAGAAACCAACTCATCAAAGTTGCAGGATACAAACTTAACATGCAGAAATCGGTTGCACGTCGGTGTTCTATACACTAATGTGAATATCCTGAAAGGACCCTTGGAAAATGATACCATTTACAATAGCATCAGAAGTAATAAAATCATTAGGAAAATACTTAACCTAGGAGTCAAAGGACTTGTACGCTGAAAAGAGCAAAACATTGTTAAAGAAATTTTAAAAGACACAAATAGATGGAAAGACATCCACATTCATGGATCGGAAGACTTAGTATTGTTAAAATGGTAATACTACCCAAAGCGATGTAGAGATTCAATGCAATCCCTATAAAAATACCAATGGCACTTTTTTTTTTTTGGCAGAAGGAGAAAAATCTATGGTAAAATTCATATGGAACCTCAAAGCACCCTGAACAGCTAATAGCTAGTAGTTCCCACCTCGGAACCTGTCTGGAGGATGAGCACCCCCGGCGCAGCTCTGGATGATTGAGACACTTCCTGCCGCCCTTTGGGAGCCCTGGGCTGTTGCCGTGCCGCTAACTCGCTGTTGAACATCTCCTAGTAAGCTAGAACATGGCTGGGAGCACAGACTTCAGTTTCAATCTCAGGGGAGCAGGTCAAACAAAGTTTAGAACCCAGAAGCCCAAAGGGACCCGCTGTGACTTCTCGAACTTCAACCCTCTCTTTTCCTCTTCTGGGCAGTGCCGGCCTGACGCCCAGTTCACAGGGCGGTTGTGCAGACAAAATGAGCTCAGTGTGAAAGGGTTTTTTCTTTATTTATTTATTCCATTTTTGTAATCACTTACTCAGTGTTTGCTTACAGGGTGAGTGCTGGAATCTGGGCTCCATAAAATGCAGGGCAGAAGTTCTCAGTCCTGAGTACATATTTAACACTACTGGGGAATTTTTTTTTTTTTTAAACATCCCTGTTGATCTCCTCCCTCTGAGAGTCTCATTCAGTCAGTCTGGGGAAGGGCCTGAGCACGGGTATTTTTTTTTAAAGCTGTCATTTTTTTCAGCGGGCAGTCAAGTAACACATAGGAGAAAAGGGTGCATTCCAACTGGTAGGATGGGACAAGCTCACGGAGAAGGCTGTGTGCGCGCAGACCTTCAGGGGACATGTAGAATTTGGGGAATCGCGTTTTGGACCAGGCAACATGGACACAAAATATCAATTCAAAAGTCCAAAAGTATCTGTTGTGAAAGGTGTCTTTTCCCCCCTCTCTTCCCTCCACTTCCTCTGTTCTCTTTGAAGCAAATGTGTCTTACCCGTTCTTGTTTATGCTACCAGAATATTCTTTCAGTTGCTATTAAGAAACGGGTTCATTTGGTGAGGGGAAAGGAGCAAAAAGGAACAAGTGTCATTTTTCTCTTGCACCACCTTCCACTGGGCACAGAATGGCAACTATATGGGAATAGCTTGATTGAGGAAGTTCATCTAATAAAAAACCAAAAAGTTGATTTTCAGAATGGGGCTTTCTTTTTTTTTTTAATTTTTGGAGGAGTGAGTGGGCGTTGCTCTTTCTTTCTTCCTGTTGTAGCACATTTTGAGTAGCTCGATGTTTAAAATTGTACTTTTTATTTTGAGAAAACTGTAGGTTCACATGCAGTTGTAAGAAATAGCACAAAGAGAGCTCATGCACCCTTTGCCGGCGGGCCTTAATTTTAATTCTGGTGCTAATCAAGGTATTTCAAATTCAATTCTCTGGTACACCAGGTTTTGAAAAACTGTGCCTGGGAAGTGGGAGTGAGCCTGTCAGGGTGGGGTGGGGAGTGGAGGGGAACAAAGGGTTTCAGTTTCACCACGTGGTTGCTGGGAAATCAAAACTAATATGTGAACGTGCTTGCTTCTTCATGGTGATAGGTGCTGCCCCTCTCTGTTACCATGTTCCGTCAGTGTGTGTGCTGTGAGTCATGGCCACGCCAGGTGAGGTGGGCCAGTGGGAGCAGAGGGTTTCTCTCGTGCAGTCGAATGGGCAGTTCCTACCTGTGTCTGGGCTCCAGGTCAGGAAGCGAGCCCGGCTCTTGGAATCCCATCTTTCTGATTCCCAGATGCACAGCGACAAGCTGGTGTAGGCATCAATCGATTCCGGACTCTCAGTTTTCCACCTTGTTTCTGATCTGTTACCGGATTCCTAAATAAGGCATCCCCTCTGTTAAAATCATAAAAGAATCACTAAACCGTAACTGGGTTGCCCCGTCCCTTCCCTGTCTCCTCCTTTTTGAACTGGATGGGCAGGAAGGGACACCTGGTTTGAAAGCTGAAAAGGGGTTGATCCTCCCTGTGTACGTGCGTCCTTCATGGCCGGTGTTGCCAGGGCCGAGGTTCTGTCAGTTACCCGAGATTTCTTGAGTTTTATGTCCCTCCCTGTGGATGATCTTGGCCCAGCATCTGCTCTTGTGCTGATGTCATTTGTGTGAATAAGTCGGCTGCAGTAATGCTTAGTATTTTCTGTGGGGCTTTTTGGGGAGGGAGCAGGTAGAGACACCAGGCTTCATCACATATATTCCTCAAGATACTGGAGGTATACACAGGGGAAAGACTGGAACCGACCATTAATAAACATGATCTCTGGGCTTCTGTAGCTTTGTGAAGCAGAAAAGCATGCATACGTATGTGTGAAATTCAGGCACATTCTTTTATCCATGGATAAAAGCTTCCCTTTACTGGGTGCTTCATACAATCAGGCAGAATTTAAGGTTTATACCCACGATCTTATTGAATCCCTACAGCAGGTCTGGGAGATGGACTGTGAGCATCTCCGTTTTATTGTTGGAACCTGAGGTGGGGTTTGAAACCAGTCTGTCTGGCACTAGAACCCGGACTCTTAACTTACTTGTACTATGTATAGCTAGAGAAGCCCTTGGACCTCGCTGTAGAATAATGTATTTAAATTTTAAAAAATTCAAAAACTAAAATACAAAGACTTGCCAAGAAAAGCGGTTGTATCTAAGCAGAGTTATCTTTTGTCGTGTGCAGGCTTGGGAGTGACCCTCAGTAATCTTGCTTTCGGTATTCGTGCCCTTGGCGAAATCTCTCCCCCTGGGGTTGAGCTGGACTCACTATCACAACTCATTTCTTTTATTTTCTTTAAAAAAATTTTTTTTTAATTTATCTGACAGAGAAAGAGAGAGATCACAAGTAGGCACAGAGGCAGGCAGAGGGAGAGGGAGAAGCAGGCTTTCCATTGAGCAGGGACCCCGATACAGGGCTTGATCTCAGGACCCTGGGATCATGACCTGAGCCGAAGGTGACACTTAACCGACTGAGCCACCCAGGCGCCCTTCATGACTCATTTCTAATGACAACACATGACAGAAATTATGGGATGTCACTTGTGAGATTAGGTTATAAAAAGACTGGCTTCTTGGGTGTTTTCTCTTGCTCTCCCTCCGATTAACTGAACAGCAGGAAGCCAGAGGCCACGGCAGCTTCCTGGAGAGGCCCATGTGGCAAGGGACTCAGACTTGCCCATGGCCACATGCATGATCTTGGAAGCAGATTCCTCCCCATTCAGCCTCAAGAAGACTGAGACCCTGATTCTTTCTCCGTGAGAGAACTTGACCCAGAACCACCCAGCTAAGTGGCACCCAAATTCCTGACCACATGTACCACGAAATAATCAGCGTTTGTTGCTTCAATCACTAGTTTTAGAGTAACTTGTTATGCAGCAATGAGTAACTAATACATCAGCACATTAAAATAAAGCAAATTCAGGATATATGTGGGGTATTTAGTGGTGAGAAAGTATGTTTCCAATATAGGCATTTTAAAGCTAAGATTGTATATTTTATAAGACACATCAATACGGAGGCTTTGTTCTTTATCTTGAATAAGAACATTAAAAAGTGGGGCACACTTTGACACGTGTAATAACCACATTTTCTAGTTTCTGTATTTGGTGCTGTGCTATCTGGGGCCTTGTGACCCTGAAGAGTCTGTCCCTCCTGGGCTTAGCCCCATCCTAGAGATGGTAAATGACATGCCTTTTGTGTGCAAACTGATCACTGCAGAGCCTATACATGGCCTCTCCCACTCCACTATCTGCTGTCCTCTATCCACTGGCCCTAATCACCCCAGGCCAGGTACAAGACAACTAACTAGGGAGAGGACCCATGCCCAGAGACCACTGAACTGACTCAAACTAGCCAATCCAAACCCTGCTCGCCCTGCCTCACCTGGTCCTTCCCTTGGACACCACAAAATGCTCTCGTCCATGTTTCCCCCTTACTTAATCTGCCTCCTGACAGATCCCAGTACTTCCCTTGGGACCCTACCGCCAACCCCATGGTATGATGTACCCCTTCTCTTGGGAGACATGAGTAGAAGTGTTATGGACTGAAAGTGTGTGTCCCCCCAAATTCAAACGTGGGAGCCCTAATCCCCCAGTGGGTTATTTGGAGACAGACCCTCTAAGGAAGTAATGTTTAATGAGGTCATAAGGCTGGGGTCCTGGTCTGATAGAATTAGTATCTGAGAGTATCCTTGTGAGAAGACACAGAAAACTCTCTCTCACTCCTTCTCTTTCTTTCTGCTCCTTGTGCACATGCCCCAGGGAAATGTCTGTGAGCGCACAGGGAGGAGGGGACTGTCTACACCCCAAAGGGAGAGCGTGTACCAGATACTAACACTGCTGACACCTTGATTATGGACTTCTACCCTCCTGAACTAAGACAAATAAGTTTTCTGTTGCTGAAGCCACCCAGATGGTGCTTTGTTACAGCAGCCTGATCAGGTAGATACAAGAAGCAGCTATCTTGTCAATGGCAGTGGTCTCCTGATCTCCTGGCCTACCATACCTGAATAACAGTAAAGCCCGTAGTTTAAAACAACAAGGCAATATGCATGACATACTAGAGTTTCAGTGCATTTTAATTTTTTTGTTTTGATATTACGAGGGCTAAGAACACTGTTTCACAAACATGTATTATTGCAAAGGAAATGAAACCTCCCACATCTCATTTTACAGAACAAACATGGGAGGCTTCCTGCAAGAAACACCAGAATCATCCAAGGCTGAAGTACAACTCCATTTGAAATAAGTAGTTTGTCAAAGACCAATAGATGAATGTCAGTAGATTATCAAAGATCAATAGATCAAATTATATTAAAAAGAAAGTGATTGTAAATTCATGGTCAGCTTGGGTGCCATTATGGTAAAAATAAGTTATGCAAAAAGTTCTAAGTGTTTCTAGATGTTCTCAGCTCAGTTCAGATGTTCTATCTTTTTAAAGAAGTAGAGAACTTCGTAGATAGGAAGTAGCCAAGAAGCAATGTCTATCTCTGGGCCACAGATGTGGGATGTGGGACATCTGGGCTCATATGGCTCAACAGCAATGACACATGAGAATAGCGCCCCACACAGGAGCTTTAGGGATCTGGACACCTCCGTACATCTGAAACAGGGATGAGCGAAGGGTTAGTTCTAACAACCACATTGGGTATGAGAGTATCTTGACTTCTACTGGCCAGAATGTCACGGGTTCTGTTAGAACGGCTGGAGCTTATGGCCTACATTCATAATTGAAAGACGTGCTAAATTTCTCTTGAAGGCTAGTGAGAATAAAGATGTATTTGTCCCCTCATCCTTGTTCCGGGACCCCAGTTGAGAACCCTGCCTTCTAGCTGTGCCACTCATACTTCCTTTCCCATGGTTAGGAACTCGGGGCAAGAACAACCCATAAGCTTAGTCCTCCTAGCTAGAAATACCCAACCACGGTAGCCCCGAGGGTAGTAGACCACAAGTGTCTTTCCAACAAGGATTACAGAGGAGGGAACTGTAGCTATGCTCCCACATGTGTGACTTTTCTCATAGGATGCCAAACACTGATCACACAGACATAACCTGAGCTGCGTCAGCAAGGGAAGGGTGCTTGGTGTGTTAAAGAGGCTTTCATGGCCGGAGCCCTATTAAGACGAGCAGAGACCTTGAGACTGAAGAGACGATTTCTTCCTTCATCCCCTTCTGTGTGATTAAAATTTAAAACTGTGCCAAATCATAAAATAATTATTAGGCAAAGTTTTGATTTGGGGGGTGAATATTTAATGATCTTACCCGAAACATTGTTTGGATGCCTCTGCATTAGTCATCTGTTGGGTAGCTCAGCTCTGGTTAGGTTACGGCAAAAGAGGGAAATCAGGGCGCCTGGGTGGCTTGGTGGGTTAGGCTTCTGCCTTCAGCCCAGGTCATGATCTCAGGGTCCAGGGATCGAGCCCCACATCGGGCTCTCTGCTCAGCAGGGAGCCTGCTTCCCCCTCTCTCTCTGCCTGCTGCTCTGCCTACTTGTGATCTCTCTCCCTCTGTCAAATAAATAAGTAAAATCTTTAAAAAAAAAAAGGGGGGGGAATCCATTTTCATTTGGAGTCCAACCAAGCTCCCTGCCCTAAGGAGCAGAGGGTGCCAGTGACGGCACCTGGCCGTAATGTGTCCTCTCCCTGGATCAGTGATTTGCGGGGTTGCCTGGAGAGGGACAGCTGATCCAGGAAGAGCACACATTAGCATGAGGTGCCGTTCCTGGTGTAAGAAAGATACCAGGACCCGTGTTTTCCAAAGGCACAGACTTTGTAGAAATCAACAGATACATTGCGGCTAAGTTAAGCATGGAACAGTCAATTAAAAGAGACCAAGAGGGGAGCCTGGACGACTCAGTTGGTTGAGCATCTGACTCTTGATCTCAGCTTAGGTCTTGATCTCAGGGTTATGAGTTCAAGCCCCACATTGGGCTCCACACTAGTTGTGGCCAAAAAAAAAAAAAAAAAAGGCCAAGAAAATCTGCAAGTGGTAATAAGAACATGAACTGGGGAGGCCCAACCAGTGCATTTGACATAAACCTCAAATAGCTTGACAAACACCCTTATCAAAATTGGGAGAGGACAGACAGCAGCATTGGAATAACTCACATAGGAATAAGGGTGATCCCTTTAGATGCCCTAAAAGACCAGAATAAAGATTCCCACCAGTTCCTCATGGGCAAAATTGATAGATACGTACTCTAAAATCAACACTTCTCAGACTTTTGCACTGACCTGCCCTTAAGGACAGAGAATTAGAAAAGCACTTTCGGGAGGTTGGAGGAAATAGGCCAAAGTAGCCTATTTGAACTCCCTAAGTTCAAAATTTCTTTGCAGTTTCAT